TGGTTTAAATGTACGCTGTGGCTCATCCAATCAGAATTTAGAGTGAGAATTATTCTGAAACTGTACACAAGAACTTTTTTGCACACAATACACAAGACATGATTTGAATGAAAGTTTTACTTTTATCTTAATTATATTACAATACTGAATGGATGCTGTATGACAAAAAAATGAGCATTTATCATTTTAATTGTCAGTCTATGTACAGCACACAATGAACAAAAACAGCCATGAAGAATCTATGAATATCAACACTGTGTACACGGTCAGATGCGAACACAAGAGAAACAACAGAGTGACTGCGCACAAAGCATGGAAAAGATGTAAATTACAGCTGCACAAAAATCACAACCGGTTAACGCTATCGTGGATTTCAGTTTGTGTGTGCGAGAGAGCTCGCTATAGAAGCTTGTTTCCACCATAGGATAAATATAATTTCAATAATTTTTCTTGTAATTCGAGGATTTCTTTTCCTGATTCTTAGGAAAAAGCCTTGAAGGGTGAGAATTTTTTTTCCAAAAAAAGAATTGTTAGATAAAACGCTGCAATTAACTTTATTTTTTCCACACAATTCTGAGGGAAAAAAGTCTGAACTGTGTGCCGTAAACTCAGAATATTGAGAGAGAAAAAAAGTCGCACTTTTATTTTTTATTCTGTAGCGGGGGAAACAAATCAACATGTAAATTCAGAATTGCGAGAAAGTCAGAATTCTGACTTCATATCTCGCAATTCCTCACAAAATTACCATTTTTTACTTTTTATTCCGCATCGTGGGAAAAAAAGAACGTTAACGTAAACTTTGAATTGTGAGAAAGTAACGTTAAGTTAGAATTGTGAGTTTATATCTCGCAATTCTAACTTTTTCCTTTACAATTCTGAGGAAAAAGTACGAATTGTGCGAAATAAACTCATAATTGACTCTTTGATTCTTTTTTAAGAAAAAGCAATCACCTTCATTATTATTATTAATCCTGTGGCAAAAATGGGCTTCCATAGATCTCAGAGTGGGTGTGGCTATGTGTGAAAATGTGAATTTTCTTAAATACATTCTTAGGTATTTTGGTTGTGTCCTTCAATCAGGGATCAATGTGCCGAGATGCCCTTTGAATCGATTAATATGACTAGCATCAGACTCGGCTTTGACTGACACGTTTATTCCAGTACGAGTGTGCATTTGTTTCGGAAAGGTCGGGGTCACAGTGAGCAGAGAGTATTGCTTCAGATGGTCAGTTATTATAAACGAAAAGAAACTATACTGAGTTATTGTTCATGTTCTTTGTGTGAGTTCAGTCTCCTGACGGTACTGAATGTGTTTAAACTGCGAATACAAACACAGAAAGTCATCATGTCCGACGTGATGTACAAAAGCGACCTGTTAATGAAATAAAAAAGTTTGCACAGAACCTATTGCGGTATTAATCATTCTAAAGCACTTAATTGTCGTTGGGGGTTAAATATGTACAAGTAGTAATACTGGGGAGGAGGGAAAGACTTTACAAAGTTACCTTAAAAATACTTCATATGCATCATTGCGATGTTACGGGACGTTATTCGTGGATTACAGGCAGAGTGTAAAATCAGTGCCGACAGGTCCGAACGCACAGCAGACTATATGTACAGATGAAAACTGCCCTTACTAATACAATACTGACCAGAAGTAGGCAATCTATCAAGGCCAGACGGTCACGTGACCAGAAGGATACCGTGTAGCTTGAGGAGTGTCATGCTGTAAACAAATGTCTACCAAAATCAGAAAACTGTGATTATGGGTTCATAACAGCAAGTCTACATGCATGTTATTCAGGGAGAATGTGTTTTAAAAAATCTCCTCCCTAAACCTCATAATTTATCAAGGAAATTTGTTTAGTCTTACATTCACAACATCTCCGGGGTTTTCATTGAGCATATTAGTTCAGTCTCTCATATAAAACACTGATTTCCTTCAGTTCTTGCAATTCGCGTTATTCACCTTATTTTTCAATGGGAAAATAACTTTTTAAACATTTAATCTAAAATCAATGCGGAAGTAAGCTTTTTTTTTGTGTGAATGTGCGAGACTTCTGATTCATCAGATGCAATGGTTAAGTAACTAGAAGAATAACAAAATGCAGTCAACTGTAAAACTTGAAATTCTCGTGTAAAGGACCAGTATTTAAGATTACAATAATAAATTCAAGTTGGCAATATTACGCATCATAACAGACTGTTTTGGAATGGACTGACACCAGAAACCTCGCACACTGGTGAAAAATGGCCGTGCCCGCACTTACAGTGAAAAATAAGGTGGATAGACAATACGCAAATCTGTTCCTGCTGTTTCATGAATGCAGCATGTATCACAAAAAAGCCAAGTACCCAAAAACAATCAGCTAAAATCACATTCCTTACGCTTACGAGAGAATTATAAATAACGTGAGATGAAGACGATAAGTAAATGAAAGAATTACATTCGGCTGTGAGCATGAGGGGAAAAACTCGATTGAATCACAAACAGAGACTAATAAGGCCTCGTGCACGTTACAATGAAGAAGCTCATTTCATTTTCTCATGTGTTGTCATGGTAGCACTTTGTAATTGACACATAGTCCATTAGTTAAACTTATGTAGACACTACTGCAGATTTTTAAAGTCATCATGAAAATCCATCCTATCTATTATTTTAATGTATGGCATAGTATAAAATATATAACTAAGCAAGTTATATAGAGTAAAATAACACAAAATATAATTTTTTTTTTTAAATATGTAGAGAGTATAATAAATGTAAATGTATAGAGTAAAATAATACAAAATATAAATTGTTTATAACAAGCTTTTTATAATCTACATAAAGGCAGTACAACAAATACTAAATTGATTTATAAATTTAAACTATATATTTTTTTGTATTACAGTAAATCATTTTTTTATTGCATTATGGTGTTAAATATGCTTAGTTGTCATAAAAATAATAACAATGCAAAAAAAAAAATCTTGATATTAATTTCTAGCAAGGCATAATTTATTCTCTAATTTTAAGGTAGAAAATGTATGGCATAGGTCTTCAACCCTGCTCCTGGGGACCCACTGTCCTGCAGAGTTTCTTTCAAACCTGTATCAGCACACCTGGCCTGTGACTTTTCAAGTGATCCTGGAGACCTTGATTATGCTGGGTACACACCACAAGATAATCGGGCTGATTTTGGTCCGATTTCTCCCCTTCCGACAATAGGTAATGTCCCGATTATCTTGGAGGTTCTAAAGATTATCTTATCAGATTTTCCTGTGGTGTGAGGTGTGTTAAGAGTGACTGAATCTGCTCGGAAGAACATCGGAGGCGCCCCAATCGCGAATCGTAAATATTCAACATGTTAAATATTTACGATCAGAAATCCTGATGTGTGGGGGAAACCCCAAGGACACCACACACTATAGGAGCAAAATGGTTAAATCTAGGAATTTTTGTCCTCATGTTTGTGGTCTCTCACATCTTGAAGATCTTATAAGATTTTAAAAATCTTTTAGTGTGTACCCAGCATTAGTTGGTTCAGGTGTGTTTGATTAGGGTTGGAGCTGAACTCCCCAGGAGCAGGGTTGAAGACCTATGATGTATGCTATTGTGAACAATTCATCCATTCATATTTATTTTCTCTCTCTCTCTCTCTCTCTTAACCTCGTAATGTTTAATCAAGATGTTTGGTGGCTTGTTTCCACCATGGAATTAAAAAAAAAGTAATTGAGACTTTTTATCTCACAATTCTGGTAGAAAAGTAACAATTGCAAGTTATAAACTCAGATTTGCAAGAAAAAACTCCAGAATTGTAGATACAGAGTTGCAATTCCCTTTTTTAATTGTTTTATTCTGTGACAGAAACAAGCTTCCATTAAAAACGACCGACTTCTCTCTGGTGATATATGTCAGACTTCTCCAATCATTTAGTCCACTTAAACCCCGCCTCTGTCTTGCAGTCACCAAATGAATCGAATGGGTGGAGCTGGATGACGTTTCCGGATCTAGTTATGTTCAGGGATAGGGTTATGGTTATTTAGGGTGTGGTTAGACCTTAAAGCTCCACCCATTACATCCAGAGAATGGAAGCTGGATGTCAAGCTCTGCAGCGACCACCTTCTTCTGCAGACTGGCATTCAGATCTGCCTCCATCAATCAAAAACCTACAGATGGAAGCAGGTCCCTGTCCTAAAGTTTTTCTTTTTCAATAATCAGTTACACTCAAGATATACATCACAGAGGAAAAAAAGATCTGTAGCTATTTCCATTTGTCACAACTTTAAAATTGATCTTAACACCTTTAACTACTCAATTTGAAGTAGAAGATTTTGGACATTACAAAAGTGTCAGTGATCGTGACGTACTGCTATGATCTGGAACTGATGCAGAAATCATGAAATGGCGCTTCTGCCTTGTAGCGTGTGCTAGGCTTGTGATGGATTCTGTAAATTTAGGAAGACGATCACAGGACAGACACTCTAAAGCAGAAGAGAAGTTCCACCACGCTCTGCACAACCAAACATTAAAACCGAAAAATACAACACTCTCACATTTCACTCTGAATTATATGACATATGTACAAAATTCTCTGAGAAGAGATGACTGCATGAACGGGCCCGGGTGATGTTCTGGTGAAGTGGACGTGGGGGTTTCAAATGGGATTGAATCTTACCAGCCTACGAAGCTGTCCTTCAATACATGCGGCACCCTTGAGTGAAAGATCTTAAAACATTTGTACATCGTTACACTACAAGGAATCGATAAACATGTTTTCTCATGCATACAGCAGTAGGTTCTACAGTGACAGCGTGCGCTCAAAACAATAGTTAACTTCCTGCTCCTGCATGAGCTTCTTGCACCCAGGCAACAAGGGCACCAATCACAAGACAGCATGTGTTTGGAGGCGGGGCAGGGCATGTGTGGGGTCACAAGAGGGGGCGGGGTTTAACGAGGGCAGGAGTGGCTGCTGTTGTTTCTGTTTCTGCTTAGCACGGCTGCCATTCCGGGTTTGTCTCGTGATGAAATCGTGTTCCTGAGTCCTGTTTATGAATGACAGCAGGAATGGAAATCTGATACCACGCTCCTCAACATCCAGGGTGAGACTGCTCCATGCCACAAATGCTGAACAGAGATCAGAGGAGACCACGCCCAACTCTTCCATTCACTCGTCCCTTGTTTCTCCATTTGAATTCCTTATTTTCTTATTTCATTTTCTCATTCATACAAAAGCGGAGGAAAATCCTTACGGAGTTTTGCAGACCAGTTTCGAGGAGTTCTTTTATATTGACGTTTCCCACAGCTGAAACAGATCACGCACAGACAAAATGAACACATGCTATTCAAGCCAGTCATGATGAAAAAAGTATGCATGCTTATTATGATTATTACAATAATGTGCAGGCGGCACAAAGTCTTCAGCAAAATTAGATTTTCTTGATTAAATATTTGAGAATTTCTTTCAAGAAAATTGTCAAGAATTGCACTTAGGAACATTCTTAGAAACTTCTTAAAATTAATCTTAAAAAATGTCTTATCTTCCTTCAAGTTTTTTTGTGAATGTGGCCCCAGGCTTGTGGGTATCTAGTTTACTTTTGACTAAGTGCTTCATATGATCTGTGCATGATAGCAATGGGAAAACAACGCTTTTCGAAGCTCTGAACCAATTGTTTTGTGTTATTAGGCAGGGCTTGACAAACAAGTCAATTAGTAACATTTATTTTCCTTTTTTGTACACACACATAAGTATTAAAATTCATTAAATTAATTAAAAATGAACCTACATTATAAAACTAATCAGAGATGAATTTGACGTGTTCACCAGATCAATGTCATCCAGTGTTATTTTAGTATAATTGAGATACTATTATAGTTTTTAAATATATTTTGAATTAGATTTTATTTTTGTTTTCTGATTTCATGTTAATTTTAGTTAAAAGTTTTAGTAATTTTGTTGTGTGCTTTTTGTTGTCATTTTTATTAGTTTTTGTTGGTTTTACATAGGTTTATATAGGTTTTATGAATTTTTATTTCAGTTTTAATTTTGGTTAAAGGGGTCATATGATGCGATTTCAAGTTTTCCTTTCTCTTTGGAGTGTCGGGCTTGAACTGATGGTAAAACTAATGACATTATTTACTGTCTTTACATTTATTTTGAAAGATGAAGCTCGCGATTATGGTAAGGGGCGTTACATTTCCGACGAGTGCTTGCGGTGTTCGGCCAATCACAATGCACTGGGTCAGCTGGCCAATCAGAGCAGACTGCGCTTGTCGGAAGGAGGGACTTTGTAGAAAACGAAGCGTTTGAGAGAGGCGGGGCATAGAGGACCTACAATAATGTACAGTATTTGAAAAATAATGTGTTTTTTGAACATTAAAGCATGTCAACATATCCTGTTACACCAAATACACAAAATAATGATCTTTTAAAAAGCATCATATGACCCCTTTAAGTACATCAAGTTAAACTAAATGAAAATTAGAAATGTTGCCTTGGAAACTAGCTGAAATCAAATACATTTTCATATTTTATTTTATTTCAGCTAGCATTTATTTTATTCAAGTAACGATTTTTTTTAATGGTTTTAGTTTTAGTTAACTACTGTATATTAACCCTCACGCCATCTAGTGGCGAACCATTGGAATTTTGAAAGTTTGATACAAGTTCCGAACCATTGATTCAAAACAAATGTAAATGCTGTAAATGTTTCAAAGTTTCTTGAAGCAGCATTTCGAAAGATCTCCTCATTAGTGGACTGATCATCTTGAGTAAAAGCTCTAAAGTTACACATTGTGCAGAAAATGTGGTGTAATAACCCCTTGAGAAACAAAAGCTAAATCATTGTTCTGAGGAAACTGTCTAAATAATTTAATCATGTACTTATGATAATATAGTGACGCTGACATATGGTAAGTCTTACCCTGGCACTCTGTCTGTTGGCCTTCCTCTCCTCATCTGGAAGGGGAGGCATGGGGTAGGGGTATCTCCGGCTGGAGGCGATGGAGCCCGTTGAAGAAGTGGGCGATTTGGCGGGTGACAGTGTCCTGAGGGTACGGAGAGATGTGACATTAGTACTGTAGTGCATGAACCGGATACTAGCATTAACAAACATGGAGCTGTCACCTTTGACCCCTTGAAGAGGTCAGAGGGAGTGTTTCCACGGCAAACCATCATCCAAAATCACTAACTTCATCAGTCCTTGCCACAAAAATACCCACTGGCTCTTACTGGAGAGTGAAGCTGGGCAGATACCGCGAGCACAATGTAGTGCTGTTGGGATGTTTAACAAACGTCATGTGGGCTTACAAACATGGCGGACATGATGAGGTGATCAGGACAGACACATGTGATCATCGTCACAGAGACTTATGTCAGCCAAATGATGATGACATCACAGAGTGCAAAAGCGACACACGTTAAGCAGCAGCCGGCATGCAGAGAGGGACACTGAGTGTGAGAGGTATAGAGCAGTGGAGGAGGAATAAAACAAAAAACTAAAATCAAACAAACACAGAGCTTTAACGACAATAAATGAGACTGGTTTGGTCTTTTGATGTTCACACACAGATGCAAAAATAAAACAACCTACACAGAGCACCTGAGTGAATCCCACGAAAACACATCCTAGTTATATTTCAGTCCAAAATCAAAAGAAAATATTATGTTCAGTAAAATGAATTAGATAATTATGATATACATGATAATGACATAAAATATATATACCCATATAAAATAATTTTTAGGAACATGATCATTGGCACTGTGACAATGTTTCCCACACATTCAAGTCTTAAGACACTACTTGAAAAATGTATAATTATAACTGATTGGTGATTCTAATTTATAGTCATTTTAACTGTACTACAGTGAAAGAACTACTGTAATATCTTTATTTAAATTCAAATAGATTAAAGGTAGTAAAAATGTACAATGATGTATATTTGCTTTACAATAAAGAGAATTTTGATTGTTGAATGAATTGTTGATTGTTGAAGGATTGTTTATTTTTATTTGCATTACAATAATGAGAATTTTGAGATTTCTTTTTAAATGTCCTTTTTTTGTCATTAAAATAATGTCACAATGTAACAAAAAAACTTCATGGTCCTAAAAATATTTTCTATGTGAAAAATTATTTCTTATTTCAGTTGATTTTGGACTGAAATCTCATCTGAACATGTTCTTGATTTGGTGAGATGATCATATGAAAGGCATTCTTGGATACTTGCATCCCATGATTTTTGATGTTTACATCAAATGATGTACTGATTATCAAATGCCTTCTGTCTTCCTTTAAAGACAAGCCATCAGTTAAACAACTGTTTCGTGTATGAATGGAAGATTTCTAAGGACAAACATTTATGACTTATGATTACAAAACACTGGATGTCTGGATATACTGTTGATTCTTTTAACTGTAGAAATGTTCATGCATTTACAATACACTACTTTTAAATAACTTTCTCTAATATGTGACACTGCAGTTTAATTTGTAGTGTATCTGTTGATGACTTGTTGCAATGGAATAATAAAGGCTTAGAAGAAACAAATACATTGAAATTAATATTTGATTTGGGGTCGTTTCTGCCAGCAAGTGCTCTTCAAACCTTAGCACTCAGCTCTCATCTCTGAAAAATGATATTTGGTCAGGGGAACGAACAACTGAGGAGGGAAACTGATGAATAGGGGACAGATATAATGCAGTCTGATGTTATTGTACCTAATATAAGGTCCTTCAGTGTTTTTATTCACATCTTCTACCCATTTAGTTACATAATACTCTGATTTGACGCAAGGGGTTAAATACCTGCAGGAGGATGGGGAAGGAGCGATAGTGAACAGAGAGATAGAGAAAGGGAAGGGTATGGGGAGAAGAGAAAGAACAGGAGAGATAGGAGAAACAGGATAAAGAAGGAAGTTGGTAAAAGTTCTTTACGGTCCAAGATGCAGGTGAGAGATCAGACAGCAGCTTAGACTACAGCACCTACACAGATATCATGAAGCTTTTTCACTTTATGGTTGGTGCAGGACAGAAACAATCAAAGACTCTACAAAAAACAGCTGCTGTAACATCAGCATCCAATTGACCTTAGTTCACCCAAAAATGTCAAATTTGTCAATTTACTTGTCGTTCCAAACCTATTTGATTTTCTTTCTTCAGTGGAACACAAACTAGAATGTTCTTTTCAATACAATGAAAGTGAAATAGGGTTAGTGTATATCTAAAATGACAAAAACAGAATAATAAAAGTAGTCCGTATGACTTGTGCACTGTATTCAAAGCCATACAAGAACTTTTATTAAGTACTTTAAGCCGTATTCGATGAAAATCTTCCCCTTCCTGTAGCACTAATATCTCATTCACACATGCATATTCAAAAGTTTACAGTTTACTATTGTTCAAAAGTTTGGGGTCAGTAAGCCGACTGATTTTTTTTTTTTTTAAAGAACTGAACACTGAACTGAAAAAAGTGGGAAAAAAAATCTTCTGTAACATTATAAATGTCTTTAATATTTCAGATAAATGCTGTTCTTTTGAATTTTCGATTCATAAAAGGATCCTGAAAAATACTGCATCACAGTTTCCGCAGTAATATTACAATATTATATCTATACTATATAATATTTCTTCAAGCATCAAGGTTGAATAAATGTATGCAAATTAGATTTAAGAGCTATGGCACAGGTTAAGGTTATCAGTAATTACACGTGAATTACGATCTCTTCCACATATCATAACATATGGCCTCAGAAGACTTAGAATATAGTGCTTGAGTCAAACTGACTACTTTTTTGATAATATTTAATAGCTTAACAGGCCCTGATCACTAAATGGTTTAGCATAAAAAAAGCATCAAAATTCTGTTCGCTTTCTAAAGACAGAAAGTCATACAGGTTTGGAATGACATGATAAGTGAATGATGATTTATTTTTCAGTGAACTATTCCTTTAAATTTAGCAGAACTTTTCCACAACCATCAAGCTATTCAACATTAAAGCACATCTCAGAAGTACGATGCTGCTGACTATAATGCGTTTCTGAATATGTCTTGCTTGAGATTTGAACGAATATTTGAATATAAAGTTGTAGTATTTGTGTAGGTCAGCTGCATGTTGTGTTTTGTTTTAGTTGTGGTCAGTTTGTCACATGCGTTTGAAAAAAGAGAGTTGAGGCGCAGAAACGAGCATCAAGCTGAAATCAGAATCAGAGTGTATCTTGTGTTCATAAAGATGATGACAGACGTGCAGGTCAGTTTCAACGTGCTGTTTGTTCCAGAGGTTAAACCGATGCACACATCAATGCACACTCAAAACAAACCAACATTTACTCCAAACACACAAAATAACGTTTCAGTTCATTTGCTTGGACTTCTACAGACTGTAGTACTGAAACATGGCATAGAGTTTAAGACTCAATGCAAAGTCCAACATCTACATCAGTCTCTGTACGGTGTCATGTGACACGTCACTGTGGCAACACTGCATCTCTTACTCTGTGGAGTTGGAGCGTGGACGGAACTTCTTTCCCTTGAGCTTCTTACGGGTACCTGTGATGTTTCCTACATCGACAGAGGAGAAGAACACATGATATGAATGCTGAGACGAATCTGATGCAAGCTCTGCCATTTCGAGCAGATGTATTTATGGGTGCGTTACCTTGCCATGAGTTGCTCCTGGGTCGTCCATTTTCACAGACGTCAGAAATGTGCTTGGCATCTGGGATTCTTTCACTCCAGGAGTGAGACAGACCATTAGATCTTCAGACCAAAGAACAGAGAAATTCTTATTGAAGTTCATTAAATGCAGTTAGAGATTAAAAGGGTTCTGTATGAGGAAAACAAATGACAGAGACATCACATGGGCCATTCCTACTAAGCAGTACATTTTAATGTTCCCATACATTAGATAAAATATTGGACTCACTGGTATTAAAGATAGAAATCATATCAGTTTGCTTTCTTTTAGCACACAATTAAGTGTGTTTTTCCCATGTCTCTGTGTGCTGCATACTATCATGGAAAACTGGCAATGTATTAGGCAATATTGCAGGGGTTTCTTAATTTCTCTTCCTTTAATCAAAATGTCTAGCTAGAAATCAAAAGTTCTTTCTTATTACAGTACATTAATTTTTAAGCAGAGATCAAAAGATACTGTAAAGTAGGAATGACCCACATCATTGTGATGAGCAGAACAAACACACTGAAATGAGCAAGATGAGATCATGGAGATGGACACCATGAAGACACTGACTTACTTATGTCCCAGTATTAATGATACAGGAGCCTGATAGGACTAACAATAACCAAGAGAAAGACAAACGGACAGTTTTGAGCACAAACCTGCAGCAGAGAAGTCATTAAAGAAGGAATAAAAATCTTCAAGTCTTGACTAAAAACGAGGTCCAGTAGAAGGAACTGCACAGTTTATTTTGAAGAAGTCTGTGCCAAATAAAACTGGAATTATTTCACACTTTTAATCTACTAGACTGCAATGTGACTAAATCCAGCGCAAATGGTGACTGACTTCTGAGATGTTTGTCCTGAGGAAAATAATCTCACATACATCTCTAGTTTGAGAAGAGATCACAATGTCTCAAACTGTGTTCAGATTTGCAAAGATGCTTAAAGTCAGAGATCTCAGTATGAACTTTAACATTTCTCATCAAATTATGTATGAGCATCAAGTTCATAGCTATATACTTTTACTATATGTTACAATATGTCTCATTCATGTCTTAAGTCTCCAATTTTCACAGAAACATCTGAGATAAAGTTGATACTTAAATGAAACATAACTGGGAACTCCATTAAGTCTGTTGAGCTCTCAAAGTAAACTTTTACACTATTTGTTAGCAGAGCAGGCAAAGCGATGAAGATGGAGATGAAGCACACCTGAAGCCGAACAGAGAGATGTTTTGGCTGATGGAAGGGATAGATGGGGTGAAAGAGCAGGTGTTGATTTGGAGGTGAGACAGATAGGCAGACCTCTTCTTGGAGCTGCTGCCGGAGTTTGAGCTCACGCCCTGCGGCATATCACTGTACAGAGAATCAGCATCTCCAGGCTTCTTCACGTAATCACCAGGAGGCATTTGACTAACAAAATGAAGAAAGTTTGATCTGAAAACTGAGCTGGGAATATTATCCACCAGCAAAAATCTTAAATCTGATCACTTAGAAAATTATATGAAGTACACTACGATTCAAAAGTTTGGGGTCAGATTTTTAAAAAGATATTAATACTTTTATTCAGCAAGCACACATCAAAATGATCAAAAGAGACAGTAAAAAGATTTGTTACAGAAGATTTATATTTAGAATAAATCCTGTTCTTCTGAACTTTCTTTTCATGAATGAATTTCAGCAATAATCAGCACAACTTTTTTCAACATTGATAATAATTAGAAGAAATGTGAACACCAAATCAGCATATAAGAATTTATGTGAAATTATGTTAAATATAATTTAAAAATCTTACCTACCCAAACTTTTGGGTGGAAAATGTAATACATAGGTTAGGGAGCTTGTTGGAATCCTTAATCCAAAAGTATAAGCAATAATAATAACCTTAGCAGTAATTCGAAACTTTCCTCTCCCTCACACAACACATAAAAACACTCTCAGAAAACGAAGAGAAAGGAGAACAAACCGACAGAATCTTCTGTGTACATCTGACTCAACATACTGACGCTGTCTGTAGCTCCTTCACATGGGAGAAAACACAGAAAAAAGCAACAACCACAATTAGTGCAAAACATCCAGGGAAAAGCATAATAAAAGAACAAATGTAAAACTGTATATCATTTGGTTCTGTATGTGGTAAACAATGCCTGTTGCAATCACGAGTACATGTAAAATGCCAGTTTAAGGGACAGTTCACCCAAAAATGACTGTGTCTTCCTCACTCGTTCCAAACATGTATGTATGACTTTTTCTTTTCCGTGGAGCACACAGAAGGAAGTTTAGAAAATTTCTGAGGTGCTCTTCACCATGCTATTAAAGTGAAGGCAGAAGCTGTTGTGCTCCAAAAGTTTCAACAAAATAAAAAAAAATAGCCCTTTGGAGATTCTGCTAATCTTCTTCTGAGTTCAGTGCAAGAAAGTTTGGAATGACATGAAGGTAAATGGTGATAGAATTTTAATTTTGGGGTGGACTATCCCTTTAAATAAAGTTTAAAAATGTTTTCAGCTATTGTGGGGTCTGTAGTCATGTGACTCACTTGTATCCCCATGCAGAAATGCCAAGAATCAGTGCAAGGACCAGGATAGAGCCTGCAATGGCCCCGATGATGATGTTAGTAGTGATGGTGCCTGTCAGAGGAACAGAACATTTAATGTGTAGCCATGGCAACTAAAAGTCAACACTGACCTGCAATCATCTGGACAAACCAAAACTAATCTGATATAGATACAGAATCTTTTTTTTTTGTCCAGTTGATTGCATGCCAAAATCAATCTGGAATAAAAACAGATAAGAGACAGAAACCAGAAAAAAAGATTTAGATAAAGATTTATGACTCTTTCTGTCCACGGAGGCTGTACGTTAAAGGCATCCATTTAAAATCAAATCCATAAAACAGGATATATGACGACGTTTATAACAACACAGCACAGCAGATAAACACTGCTAGCTTTCATTTAGACAGAAACACGGAGGAATGATGGGGCGAGTGAACGACAAAACGACAACAAACAACAACTCAAATCTAAACTCACTGTCACTCCAGCAAAAGACATGAGCCTGTCCACAATGAACGAGTGCATATAAACAAAAGCCATGAAACAGAAAAATAAAAAGAGAAATTAAAAGCGTGTGAAATGTGTGTGAGTGGTGAATGAACTGTTGAACATGAACATGAAAACAGAACAGAAGAAAAACAGACTAATAAAAAAAATTATCTTGATATATTCAGCATTCATGTATTTATATATATATATATATATATATTTGTTAAATATCTTAATGGTTATGTATCTGAAACAGCTTACAATTGTGTTGCAATAACAGGAACCATCAAATTTAACCTAACAGTCAAGTAGATTCAAAATGTTTAATGTAAGGTTTAATTTAATGTAAAAATCTTGTAAATAATTAATCAATTCTAAACTGTTTTTCACTAAATAAATTAAAATGATCAAATAAAATCCTTCAGTGCATTAATATCACTGATGCTTAAGAGAGCACCTTATTTCTTGTAAAGTTGACATATGTATCCGTTTTACACAAATGACCAATGAAATATGCCCAGACACGACATCTGATTCTTTAAGCTTTAAGCAAGGTGGTGAGTCTCCACTTGCTGGAGACTTTTGCTCATAACTGCCATGTCTGCTGCTTCTGGATTCATGTCATAAGCTGGTTTTGTAATGCATGTTGGTAAAGGATCTCCAAATAGTGGAATTGGTTCTGCATATCATTCTCTTGTAAAGATTAAGCAAAGGTGAAAGTTTGGCCTACCTGGTGTTTTGGCTGTGGGTCGCACCAGCAGGTAACTCAGAGGAGAGGTGGAGTTACAGTCCTCACCTGCCCAGCCCAGGTCACACACACACCTGAGCTCATTACTGCACACCTACAGCACACACACACACACACACACACACACACACACATATAGATAAAGCAATTATAGAATGAAGTCAAAACACAGTGATGAACAGCAGCATTTAACTAAATCGTTTGCTACAATAAAAGATGATGCAGGGACTTAAATCAGTGAACTGTTTATTAAAATATTATGGGTATTTATATAAAATATAAATATAGCACATGAAAGAGTTCAATCTGGCCCACAGTATGATTTATTACGGTATTTAAAATGTATTAAATTTTGACAATTTATTATTGTCTTTTTATTATTATTTATACATTCATAATAAATTATTTTACATTAAAATCAGTGCTTTCAATCCATTAAAATGTTAGCTAATTAATAGCACATTTTTCTGTAATCGCAATTAATCACATCTAACATAAACATTAGTAACCATAAATACATTTTCACAATGAATCTCCAAATTAAAGTAGAAAAAATATAAAGACGGTATATTTTAAATATTTGTTTAATCACCAATACCAATACTGACAGATATTTTTTTTTAGATATAAATGTTGCTATTCTACATTATAGTAAAATCTGTGCCATCATTTAATAGACTTAAACTGTTACAGAACATTATTATATAAAAATAGTATAACTTTTAATTTAAGTGAACTTACAACAATCTTCACATTATCCCATCAGCCTATCATAAATTTCACATTTAGCTGTGCCTTTTATATAGTGTATATAGTAATATAGTGATGTTTCTTTCTCTACCAATATCAGGCTTCTCTGTTTGAATGAAAGCTGTCAGGTCATTTTTGCCACACTTAGAATATCTGGCACATTTATTTTCACAATAAATAAGAAAATTACCATTTCACAGTCCAAACTGTCTTCTAATTATTTATTCATGGCGTTTGGCACTTGTTAATGTGAACCTTTTTTTTCAGCTGAAACTGGATCAGTGGGTGACACAACTGTCACAATTCACACCACACACAATCTCTCACCCCATGTCCGGAGCAGATCACCCTTTCGTTGGTGCCGGGGCACGTGCTGAAGTTGAATTCCTGCACTAGGAGGCATTTGTGATTAAAGCAGATGCGATCTGTCCCACATGCCGTTCCATCCTCTACGTATCCCAAATCAGTGTTGCCATCAATCAGCACATGGCCTCCACTGAAACATTCAAACTCACTTTAGGAAAATCAATCACATAGAAAGCTGAAGTGAGCGTGTGTTTGTGTACGTACCTGCAGTCCAGTGAGGCGCTGTGCTGGGCCACAGAGAAAGAAGTCAAACCTCCCTGTAACTCTCCTAGTCTGGGTGCAGGAGAAATGTTGGAGCACAGCAGGTATCCACAGTGTACATCCCTAAAACACACACATGCACACTTTTTAATCTAGATAGAGTAAATAAAATTAAGGTAATCCCATAATAAATGAGAAAAAAGTAATTAGCACAAGATTAACACAAACTAGGAAATTATGTGATTTTAAGCATAATTTTCAAGCCTGGAAAAATTCATAGAAATTTCTATAATATAATATATATTTTTTTAAATATACAATATACATACACACACTTTTAAGGTTAACACACTTCCCCATCAGTGTGGTATGACCGTCAAACTCACTGTTTTTTGCACTGAATCCAGGTGTCTCTGTCACGTCCACAGTTGCCCTTCTCTGTGCCCTCAATGTTGAGTTTCTCATAGCAAAACTTATCAGCCGATGTTGCTTCTTTAGAAACAGAGACATCACACGTCATAATTACATCAGCACCACTAACTGAAATAAATATGTTTAAGTTAAAGTACTACAATGAATAACACTAAAACTGAAATAAAAATGAATTAAGGCCAAATAGAATAAAAAAATGAACACATTGAAATATTATTAAAAAGAACTAATAAAGTTAAAATAAAATTAAAAGTTAAGTTAAAATTAAATAAAATGAAATATAAAATGTAAAAAAATTATTCAAAATAATAATAAATAATGTAATAGCATATAAATAATACTAAAATAACTTTGCCACTCACTCTCTCCCCAGAGGTATTTGCACTGTCCGTCCTTGGTTTTGCACCTGCCATTGAAACATCTTCCCTAAAATGAGTGAAATTAAGAAAAATAGGTTACACTGATATATCAAAATAACATGAGATGATAAATAATAAATTATGACTAATATATATACAGTATATACATTTGATATACATAAAACTCACTTGGTCTTTCTCACATGTGTACCCATCCATCTTGTGCAGGTTTGGAGGACACTAAAAAATATATGGAGTTTTACATTTTAAAGCATGTTTAGAATGGCATACTATTTACTGTTTTTAAATGAATGTCGTATGCAGTATACCAGATAGAGTACGATATGTGAATTTGATGTATGCATAGAATACTAGTATGATCTACTAGATTTGCAGAAATGTGCAATATACAGCAGAGCACACTGAATGGAATACTGTCCCATAATGCAAAGTGTTTGACTTGAACCAGAAGCTATATCTTATATATTCATGTTCATCTAAGTGACAGCCATACCATTAAACCGATTAAAAAGATTAAGATTCAAAAAAAAAAAAAAATCTATGTAAAAAATTTAATTGTGATGTTTTTATCAGCTGTTTGGACTCTCATTCTGGTGGCATCCATTCACTGCAGAGGATCCATTGGTGAGAAAGTCATGTAATGTTGTAACGTTAAATTTCTCCCCAAATCTGTTCAAATGAAGAAACAAACTCATCTACATCTTGGATGGCCTGAGGGTTAGTAAATTTTCAACACATTTTCTTTTTTAAACTATTCCTTTGATGTATTAATTCTACTGCTGTAGGATGTGTTGTGAGATGTATGTAACAGTGCCCTCACCTGGCTGGAGTTCCCAGTGCACATGTCAGGTATGTCACAATCATTGACAGCGTCACGACAAAGTACACCCATAAACTCCAGCTACAGAGATAGCACAATGATCATTAAAAGTCACACACACAAACAGAAGGCTACAGAGTTTTCTTGTTCGACTCAGCGCCTACCTGACAGTTCTTACAACAGAGACCATCACTGCATTTGGCTCCCTGAGTCAACATACATTTCTTGCAGCAGTTCTCCCCTTCTCTAGCACACTCCTGCAGAAAGACAGAAAAAAACTGATTACATAAGCAGTGTCAGATTAATGTGATCATGATGTTGATGTAAGATCACTCACGGCTGGGCTTCCACAGTCACACTCCTCTCCTGCCTCCACAAAACTATTTCCACACTCTGGAGGATCCAAGAGCTACAGAACAAAAAAAGAGTTATAAAGCAAGAGCACTGTTACTTGTTCATTTTATATATATATATATATAAGGGTTCTTTGAATAGTTCATAAGAAAAGCATTTATTTGAAACAATGTCTTAACTGTTCATTTTGATTAATGTAATGCATCCTTGCTAAATAAAAATATTAATTTCTATAAAATATGTAAATAAATAAATTCTTCCTGACCCCAAACTTTTGAATATCATTGTATGTCTAAAACTTTGTGAATAAACGTTCCAATTTTGTGGAAACCCGTGGCACTGGAGTTCTGTGGGTGCAGATTTTGTTTGGGTTTGGTGACATACTAAGGAAAGTGATTGCTATGAACACCCAGTCAGAACTGAAGTGGCTTTACCTTTGAAGGTTTGTTGAAGAGACACGCACCACCTCCACTGTTCAGGAAATCATGATACTCTTCCACGTTACAGTCAGAAAATCTCTTGGGTAAGTAGAAGCTGTTAGAGAGAACAACAAAGCACTAGAGTCATACTGCCTAACTTTACTTTCACGCTCTATGTTTAACACAACCACTGAGACAGGCTATAAAAAAGAGTGTTTGTAATGCTAACCAAAGTCTCACTGAGCTTAAACTGAAAAGCAACAAACCTTAACTCAGTCACCACGTTTACATGCACATTGTTTTCTGATTAAGGTATTTTAGCCATAATTTTGAAAACAATTCCTGAATGCTGCACATGTAATCATATTGGAATATATGGAAATACTGGACGTGCTTACCAATAGAGAATTATTTTTCTTTGGCCATATGTATATGTAAATGAACAAGTGGATGTTCCAATTACAAATAAAAAAGCATTTATCATTATTACAGGGAAATGCCAGCTGCCCTGTTCAGATTGGTTAATGACAATCAAGTTAAATCACATTTACATGACACATACTCTAACTAATCAGAATACGACCAAATTCCAAAATCAAAATGTTCATGTAAACCTGGTCACTGTTGTGGAAAAGTTCTCATGGGGGCAAATTAATGCTAAAAATTACAGGCTTGGGACAGAAAACAAGATTAATGTGAACTGGTCACACTGAATGTAAACATCAGTCTGGTTAAATGGGGAAATGGTTACATGGCTACTGAATCTTTTTAATTCAGACCAGCAGAGGGCAGGACTCAGACACAAAGAACAATAAAACACATAGTACAAACACAAGGGCTACAGCAGCCAGATTTGTTGAAAATAGGTTGTAAGAATCAGTCAATTCCCTGTATTTACAGGCAGACCTTTACCTCTTCAATATGATGGACATGCAGTGTATTGCATTATATATAAATAACAGTTGCTAAATGCATTCACATCTACATTTACATTTATTGGTTGCTTATTAGCATGCATATTATTAGAAGATTGGCTGTTTATTAGTACTTATAAAACACATATGAATGCCTTATTCTGCATGACCATATTTTAGTCATGCATTTTTTCTTATGAACACCCTGCAGTTCACGAAACCTAGTTTGGGAAACCCTGGTCTGAAATACCACTCTTTCTTTTTAGGTGAATCCTCTCTGATTCTGATGACACTTTCCTCATTCTTCCATCTGCATCCAATAGATTAAAATCACAGTTTATCCACTTGTAAACACAGAGGTGTGGCAGTACGCTCAAACTGTACGAGAACGCTGAACACTGCTCAGCCTGTATCAGCTGGGTCGCTGCCCTCAATATCATTCCGAGGCTTTAAGCACTATTCCAATCTGTGACAATCTGCAACAATGCAGTTTCAGGAAGCCTTAACCGGAGACTGAGAATCAATAAGTGCATATCTCACAGTATGCCATGTGTAAGTGGTTACTCTTCGTTTACCAGACGCTGAGTGTGATCCTGGAATATCCAGGCACCTTGTCTTACCTGCTTGAGCATGGGTAATTAATTTTAAAGTGTTGCAGACATTTTCACAGGATTGTTAACAACTGGTAGACATACTTAAAGGGGGAAAACAGAGAACACAAAACATCCTGCCACATTAACAATGGAGTTAGTGGATCAGATCAGAAATGCAGGCTGCACGGAAAATAAACTTCTCAAAACATCCATCAATGGAGAGACAGATCGACATGAGCGTGTCTGTCTGAAAGGCCATTGATACTAGTGTTAATAACATGAGCCGTGAGAGTGTGCTGTAACTTTCAGGAAATTATGGACATATATATCAAAAACAACCCAACAACATCATATGTGCATGTTGAAACCAGAGGACTTTCTCATACTCAGAAGTTTGGACTTTTTGCCCCAATAGTCCCATATTCTCCTGATAGTGAGAAAGTGCTTAGCTCTGTGTGGTGATTACAACACTTTTTCTCTTAGTTTTTCATCTTCTACACATGGTATTTCAGTTTGGAGGTCCAAAAACTGTTAATGACTAATATATGTGTTCAGAAACATGACTTGTGAAGAGAAGAAGTCTTATTTGAGAAGCTAAGCAAACAGCAAGACGGAGGGTGAACACACACTGAGAGTGCTGGTGTGAATTTCAGCTAACGTCCTGTCAGTAAGCCATTATACATCAGATGGCAAATGTCACTTTTGTCTAGGAAATTATGATTATCTAATTGTATTATAAAAGCAGACTTTTGTATTTAGAGGTAGACTGTGTGTGTGTCACACATGCTTTATGACATTTGGCATTAGCATGAAATCATGATTGTTCTGTTCTTTTGAGTATGAATGACTGCAGACAGTTTTAAACACTTTAAAGGGGACATATCACGGAAAATTTGATTTTCCTTTATCTTGTGAAATAAAAGAGTGATACTATTTTTTTTTAACTCAAAACTTCCATTCCAAAAAAAAACTATGCTGCAAAACAATCTTTATACTTATGACCATACAAGGATGTAAACTGGTGTTCAGCTACTTGATTTTGTTGTGGATTTTATTTTATTTTTTTTTGCAGAAAGGCTTTTATTTAATTACGGTAAAGTTCACACTATATAGATCCTGACAGCAAACCCAAAAAAAGCCTGTTTAATTCTAGGAGGTGGAAAATACTGAAAGATCTTAGCTAATATTATCAGACTGAAATGCATGATATGACCCCTTTAAACTGAGAGGAGCCCAATAATCCTCTCTTAACGAAACATGTCCCACTATGAGCTGTCAGCCAAATTAAAAACCAGTAAGAAAGAGAGCACATAGGAAACTGCAGAATATTCCAACACAATGCAACTTCTGCCATATTGCTCTCTTGACTGAATAAAATTGAGGCCATAATGCTATTAGATGGAGTGAGTGGCTGAAAAGACTCAGCAGCTGACTGGTTGACAGGACACGAGCGAGTAGCATGACACAACCAAGCGTCTGCTCACCTGCTGTCCCATTCGGGATTGAGGGGAAATGCAAAAGGTATTAAAACACATGGATAAAGACAAACCAACACACACAGACGCACACTATGACATTAACAAAATCACTTCACAGGTATCTGATCACCTCACATCAAAGCATTTCTCGAATAACCACTGTGAACATTTCTGACTGTTTTAAGCATATATACTAATTATTAGCTGTGGTTTGTTATTCTGTTAATACAATTTTTCAGTTTGACACTGAAAAACACTGCCTGTGAATGTTAGACTGCTAAAAAAAAAAAAGATCCAGGGCAAATTTGAAACATGAACAGTGAAATTTCAAAATCCACATGTGAAATGTCAACAGTGGAGAGCCAAACGTAGAAAATCGGACTATAATGATCAATAACACTTTCTCATGACATTTTGAGGATATCATGTTCTAATTTTACACAGGAGTTCATATTTCAATCTTACAAAAATGCTCTATTTCAACCCAATATCAAAAGAAAAAAATATGTATTTGGCATAAAGAAAACAGTATTTTAGAAATAAAGTTTTATTTGCAGTGTATTTTGATGATAATTAAGAACACTGACATTCATCTGGATGTCATCTGGAGTTTTTATGTAATGTTCAATTGTGATTCTTATTACTTTAATACAATAAAAGAATTCATTTTTGGCACATTACAATAATAAGACTTGATTTTAGGGTGAAATGTGAATGTGAAATCTGCATATTTTGTGGAAGGTTTTGTGAGATTCACCCTCACAGATTGTAATGCTAATTTACCCACCCATCAACAGTCTGTGAGGCTCCCGTGAAAATGAGAACAGGACACAAATACGAGTAAACGCTGAGACAGATGAATTGAGAAGCCAAATTATTTACTGCCACCTAGTGGAATTCATGAAATAGTGTTTAAATCTGTCTCAAAGTTTCTCACTGGCTGCCAGTTAACAACATCTGACGTGACAGAAAGTGTTATGAATCAGTGAGTGGCACAGATTTCAAACACTGTTACTTTGACTACATTTAATTTAAAGTTATTTAAGCAACAAAACACAGGAACACAGACTCAGCACAAAGCATGACAGGCTGTTTTAGTAAGACTAATATGCATGTCCAATAGGGTCTCAAAACGTAAGTGAGTTATGTGTATGTGTTAGGAAATCTGGGAAATCTGCTTTATTAGAAACTTACCCAACATCATCCATTATGCAGCCAGACCATTTATCTTCACACTTGCACTCCCCTGTGAGGGAAAGACGAAGACGGATTACAGTGACAAACTATGAGAGTCTGCTTGTGTGAGTACTCCTGTATTTACTGCCAAAGCACATACAAAAAATATAAAAGTTGAATAGGAAACGAGAACACTCACCATTTAAAATGCGTTTCTTATCAGAAAATATGCCGATATTTTGTCCTAGTGACTGGGCGAGAGCTATGGCCATTTCTTCGGTCTTTCCATACTAACAAATTAGAGAAAAAATCACCCAAACAAAAGCCTTTGAGACTGATAAACAGATTACTTTTCATTAGTTAAAAGCATCTTTCATAACCATAACCACAAACCTCATTGACTCCGCCTCCTTTAGTGAGTGAGCAGACTCCGCCCATATATGAGGCTCCTCCCCAGTTGCTATGGAAACGGTTGCCCCTAAAAGAAGAGAGAAAACTGATTAGAAATGCCAATTTACCTGATCATAAAACTAATGTCTGCTGTGTATTTTTTGATAACTCACGAGAAAAGGTGAACGGAGTCACACTTTTCTTTAATAAAGTCTCTTCGGTACTTCATAAACTCTCGTAATGTCACCATGGGATCGTCATTGATATTAAATCTGTTGTCTGCAGCCCATGTTTCCATCGCAACCAAGACAATTCTAGTGTTGAGTTGCTCTTTGAAGTACTGCAGATACAAACAAAAATGTTTTATTAACAAGAGGTGAACAAAGAATTCTATCTTTTTCAAGTAAATCTGAATCCCCAAGACACAGATGATGACTGCAGGATGATGGATGTTTTTTTTTATTCTAGAGCTCAATTTGACATATCGAACAACAGAGTGACGCAGATAAATGCCAACTGTCTCTCAAAGAGAGAGAGAGAAATGGAGGGATGTTTATGTGACTGTCAAGGGCAGACAGACTGACAAACAAACAGATAAAGCAGCTTATGACGTGACTGTCAGAATGCACAAGGTCTATTTGTCTTGGGAAACCGATGAGGATCAGCCTTCTGTTTAATGGATATACAGTGTAAGAACAAAAATTATTAAAAGGATATATTATTAAAATTAATAATAGAAGACTATGAATTGTATACATTAGCAACTTACCAGATCAGCCATATTTACAACAGATTTGGCGTAGTTATTAGTTTGTCCAACAGAAAGGCGATGTTTCTTGTACTGGGAAAAATGAATGTGAATACATAGTAAAATGAATGCATTGCAGGCATTAAGAAAGAAAACAATGATAAATTGGTTAATATGTTGGTTAATTAGGTCACTCATCTTACCATTAAATGATCATTTATGACCATCAGCTCTATATATTTGGTCTCATCTGAAACACTCCGTGGAGTTCGCAATATCTGTGAGAAATTTGACAGTGCATCATTTTCATGTAGTTTATGACTTTGATTAGCTCTGAGACAGTGACAACAAGAGATTGGAATCGTAATGATTCTGGATCCAATTCCAATTAAGGAATCTTGTTACTTTACGATTCCATAAACATTTCTTTTAGTTTTGAAGAAGAAATTAATACGCAAAGTGTGGAAAATAATTCTTAATGCATTCAATACTATCAGCAGCCTGTTACGAAATAATTAGATGATTTAAGATCTAAACGGAACAGTAATAATTCAAAAATATTTTTTAATCCCAAAAAACAATGTATCACACACTCAGAAGTTTTGTTCATTCTTGTGCATAGACTGACATGCACTGACATTGCGTTGTCATGACAACAGTAAAGTTTAAAAGTTGCACTGATGTGAATACGGCATATTTTATTTATATTTTGTTAAAGCCTTCCAGCAACATCAGTAGAAAAATGCAGATGTTCTAGAACAACAGAATCAAATTATTATTCTATTATTATTTAATATTATATAATTTATATAATATTATTCCAATATTATTTTAAAAAGGAAAGCATTCTGAACTATTCGTGATTCCCAATCCTAGTGACAAACATGTTTCATATCATCACCCTGCAGCATGCAAAACATGCTTACTGCAGAGAAACAGCTGATCTATACATTAGTGCCATAAAGAGTCCACAGCCCTGCTGTAAATATTTGATGGGGATGGAAAGAAAGACACAGAAGAAACAGAAAGAGAGCAGCACTTACAACAGCACTGAAATCACATCAGATCACACACACACACACAAACACAAACCATGAGCCATGCATGTTATAAGTATACACACCTGTCTCTTTTTCCTCCTGTGGGCGGCACTAGACAGTGGTGGGTTCTGGAACAGTGACTCTGCCAGGTAAACAAATATTAACTATCAGTATGGACAGTTGAGCACAAAGTGCCTGCATACAAAACTAACTCATTCTGCTTCATTAATTATCCCCCATGGGCCCTTATATATAGTATACTCATGCTATATACATCATGCTTTAAACCTGAACACCAGAATGGTTCATACCTGCAGAAATGAAGTCCTCTGGGGGGTCCAAACCAGGAGACTGATAAATCATGTGCACATGATCCTCCTCCTACAGGGAAAAATCAGAGCATACGATATGATTCATATTTGTCAAATACCCCTATGTAACACTTAGAGAGTTTGATAAGACACACTGTTAAGTTTGTATAAGAAAGAGAAAGAGAAAGTCACATTTTGATTTAGGCAATTTGTGTCTAAAAGTTCTAAATGCACTAATTACAATATTTTGTAGGCCTAAACAAGTTTGTTACAGTATGTTACAGTTTTGTTGTTTAAATTAATTTTCCTCAAAAGATTTTTTAAATGTTTATACAGACTTTGACAAAAAATATGACTATCCTATTCACAAATGTGACATCAAGCTTATTGTGAGGAAATAGTTAAGACAGTTTAGAAAATAAGATGGAAAAGTGGAAAATGAATGTTTTGACTACCGTTTGTTGGAGGCTCTAAAATACAACTTGATTTGCTTGAGAGGAGGCTCCACGGACTGTCGTTAAAATTAGCAACAGAATTGTCTTTTAAAAGGCCACTGTATGATTCGCACACTGTTAATTTGAATATTTATACTGGTTTTGCGTTTATTCACGTTACACTCTAACGTTATAGTTTAATAGCACAACGTCACGCCGCACCCGCCTCAGTGAATTTGTGCGCGCTCCCGAAGAGTCCCCAAACACAAACACTACACGACGAAACCGCACAGAAGATCACCGATTGCGTGATAAAATGACCGTTATATCACCAAAAGAGTCATTTAAAGCGCACTGTTAATCAGGTATGTGTGCGATATATTGGTCCTGAGAGCGTCACTCGGATGAAACTAAAGCGCAACATGTTGTATCATAATGTTAGCCGTTAGCTGAGATGATCTTGTTAGCGCTCGAATATACTCTTGAATTAATCAAAACAAACCATAAACCAAAAACAACACTTCTGAGCTCGTGAAAACACAACAAATGTAACTTTAAAATAAGTCGCTTCTGATAGACACAGCAAGAAAATCCTTACAGAGATGCGATTGTCTGACGTCTATTGTTGTAAAGACAGCGCGCACGTTACGCAGACATACATTTACTCTCCATGTAAACAGTACTCATCATGCCTGTTGTACATATACACAGAGAAATTTATTGTAGTCTACGCTTAGAAACACACATTAACGCTTAATACACACACACACACTCATACTTAATACGACACATATTTAAGCATTGCAGTCATCACTGGATTTTGGCTCATCTTTACTGTATGTCTGTGAAGGAGTGGGCATTACAATAAGACTTCCAGTACACTTTCTAAATTTACATACAATGGTATGAAAACTTTCACTTTGTAAGCAAACTTGCAAATGACCTGAAGACTGCAGAATGAAATGAGAGAAAAAAAACATGAATCTTTTTTCTCTGGTCATTCTTCTCCTTGACTAAAAATGTAATTTCATGTACCCTTTCCCCACAAGGTTCCATTTTTTTCCTGCCTCCAGTCATGTCTTGTCGTGACGTTCATGCCACCAATGCTTTCGCCTTCATCATCGCGATGCTGTCAGTGGTCGGTCTGACCGTCGCCACGCTCGTTCCCCAGTGGAGAACCACCCGCCTGCTCACCTACAACCGCAATGCCAAAAACGTGACCATGTACGACGGCCTGTGGACCAAGTGTGTGCTGCGAGATGGTTCTTCGGGTTGCTATTACTTTGATGCAGACTGGTATGCGAAAGTAGACCAGTTGTACCTCAGACTGCTGCAGTTCTGTTTACCTGCTGGTAGGTGCTCATGATGGGTACAATGAACTAGTTCTTCAGTTTATAAGGCTGTATGTACTACTTTTTCCTCTCTAATTCCATGTTTTCCATTTTAATTCTGTTTTAATAGCTTAATTTTAAAGAGGCCATATGATGCTTGTTACTGTTTTCTTTTTGTATGTTTATGTATAAAATCTGCAAAGTTACCACAAAGGGATTTATTCTAGCAAACAGAGAACACTGCTCCAGACTTGCCTAAAATGCACTGATTGAAGTCTAGATGTTACTTCTGCAAACATCTACATCACAGTTTGAAATATTAGCATAATGCCTGCCCAAAGGCATATGCAAAGCAAGAAGGTCAGGTGAACTGTAGTCTCAGCCTCAGACGTCACGCCCACAGACCGTTGGCTGAATGCCTGATACATACAGCGCACAAAACTGGAAACACTTACAGGTCCCCTGAAATGCTTAGAAACACACAGCGTTGCTCTGTGTTGACGTCATTTTAACTGAAACAGGAAGACAGGGCGGTTGCCTACATTGTGCCATTCACTGTACAGAAAATACTAATTCTGTGGACAAGTGACCGATTTCAGTCGCGGCTTCAGCGTCTATTTTATAGTGTAGGGGGCGGCGGGCGCTTCGGATTCTAGAGAGCATTTGATTGGACAGAATACACCAAATTGGAAACACTTCGGGAGTTTCGAAGTCGTCATTGGATTGGTTGAATTATACAGGATTTCTGGGAGATGTGTGTGTCGCATTTTTTAATGTTGCACCTGGAAACAAAGATACAGTGCTGCCAAACCCCCTCATGGAAGAAAGAAGCCGTCGTGTTTACAACTGTGACGATTAGCACTTATCAGGATCAACTAAATGCTGGATTTTCAAAAGTATGTGGAATATTTAAAGTTCGGGGCATAGAATCTTTAAAATAATACATTTTTTCCATGCCCCTAAACATGACGTGGCACAAAACAAAACGTGATTGGTTGCTTTACCTGGCAGTCATATGCCCTCTTGGGCGGGCCTTGGCCATTCAAAGTGGCCAAGGTTCCCAGACCTTCTGCCGTCACTCTGAAGGTCTGGCTACGCGAGACTAGGTGAACTATAGTGCTATGTTGTGGAGATGCTGTGTGTTTCAATGCGAAAGCAAAAGTCCTTTGTTTGGCCTTCTGAAAACGGATTAAATTAGGAATCAGTGGTTCAGATTTACCAGTTTAAATTTTTTTTTTTTTAATGAAATCAAATGAAATGTGAACAATTCCTTTCATTTTTTGGCAAACAGTGCTGCACAACAGGGGTTTAATGTTTAAAACAAGGATGACAAATTGTGATATTCCTTAAAAAACTGTCATATTATTAGTGTTACTAAGTATATTCTACTTTACAATAGTAATATATTTCTGTCATAATTTCTTCAGGTTTCAAACCAAACGGATTGTAGTTGAGACCTTTGGGTTTCTGCGTCTATATGACAAAATTTTGTCAAATGTAATGGTAAAACTTGTGATGTGACTCTTAGAGCAGCTCTGGAGATGAAGTTCACATGTAGTGTCCTATATATAGTGAGACAGCAGCTGCTGAAAACACAAGCTGTGCTGCTCATTTAGTCATTTATCTACTTCATATTAAATAGCAGTCTTTTTGCAGTTTATATTCACTGACACTAATCTATATCGCAGTTTGATTAAATGAACAGCTCTACTTTTGATTTATTCATCCAATTTGTGCCAAATTCCAGGACATTCTGCATTGTACATTAAATTCAAATTTTTTTTGACTGGTTTCAGTGATTCCGTCCTCATTTTTTGCATCACGGAAATCATAGGGTTGATTCTGTTTATTCTGTTGACATCAGCCTCTTTTCTCCACAGGTCTGCTGTTTTCCAGCTTGGCTCTTCTGCTCTGTCTCACTGGCATGTGTAAAACTGCTTGCTGCTCCAAAACTCCTGATGACATCAAGAACTCCCACTGCTTGGTCAACAGCTCAGGCTGCCATCTAGTGGCTGGGATGCTTCTGTTTCTAGGCGGGGCCATTGCCATGCCGCCCTCTGTCTGGTTCCTGTTCCACACGCGTAACCTTAATGAGCGCTACGATAATCTGTTTGCTGTTGAGTTTGGGGTGTATGTGGCCATCAGCAGTGCTGGTGGTCTGATCTTAGCCGCTCTGCTGATGTTCATGTGGTATTGCATGTGTAAAAAACTGCCTTCACCCTTCTGGCTACCTCTACCTGAAGGACCTGCAATGACCAACAGCCTCTCCGCGCAGCCCCTCATGACCAACGGCTTGCCTTCTCCCATGACATACGCACCCCAGAGCTTCCCTCCGGCTGTTCTGGATGCCCCCACTTTTGTTCCAGCACAGGGTTACCCTCAACCTGCACCCACACAGCCTATGTCTACATGCCACAGATGTCCATACCTGATAGTTACGGCTCAGAAGTTGGAGCCTCACAGGCATATAGATACGCTCCCTCTCAAAGCTTTGCGCCTTCTCAGGGATATGCCCCATCTCAAAGCTACGCCCCCTCAGAGGTATGCTGGGCACCGCTATTCCACACGCTCCCGTATGTCGGGCATTGAGATTGACATTCCTGTCCTTACAGACTGACATTGAGTTAGTTGTTTCAAATCAAACAGGTCAAACTGGTATTCTATTCCTATAAATTAGAAATGGTAAATTAGCTGTGGCATTGAATTTGAACAAAATGGTGAAATTGAAAGAAACGCCTTTAATTCAGTTGATGTTGCAGGTGCTTCTTAGTAATAGCACTGAAAATGGCCAAAACAACGTAAAAATATTCATCAAACCAATAACACAAGTGGAATTAGAAAGTTGTGTACCTCTCTCAATAAGCTTTATTCATAAAACACAAGCAGAACAAATTTCTGTGTAAACTGTTCATTATTTCACTGAGTATGTTGCATTAAATTCAGTGTGACAGGTTTACGTATTATGTACACAGAAATTAATTCTGTTATGTCTTTATTCTGCTTTTAAACCTCAACAGTAACACTGAACTTTTTAACCTGTTAGTGAATATGCCTGCTAATATCTAAATGTGATTAGTAATTGCTAAAAAGAGACGCAACCTACACTCTGTTTTATGACTGCTTACACTTGTATTACTGTCAATGCCATGAAGTTTCACATTTGCCTTTTTTACGTTGCCTTGTTGTAATACCTGAACATCATGTTTTTGTTTTGTTTTTCTAACTTTCTGATGTTACATAATGTGAAGGATAATTAATTTTTACCTGCTGTTTATTATTATTTTTGCAATGGAAAGAAATTTTTAATTTTTGTTTTGTTGTCAGTTTAAAAACTGTCAAGATGCTACATGAACACTTACGTAACATAATCTGTTTTTTTTTTTATGTTTAAGGGTTTGCAGGTTTTAAAAAATAACCTTGTAGTCTGACTTGTTACTCACCGATGCCTGATGCCTTTTGAGCAGTTTAACTACTGTTATCAAGACTACTTCCACTTTTAGATTTATGCTTTGTAATAAGCCTTACATGAGCAACAAAACATGAATGAAACACTACACTGCATTCCACTCTCTTCTTTTAGTGCAAATGTTTTTATTGCGTTTTAACGGTGTCACACCAGAGAAGTCAGTGCAGTGTAACTCAGAGCATTTGAATTACATGCTGTAGTAGTATGTTTGTTTACTGTTACATAGTCACTTAATCCATTGCTAAAAAATGAGAGAAAAACACTGTCTTAAAAACAAATAGTTCCTATTACATTGCCTATGACATATTGCACAGATCAATTTCATCTTGCCTGTTTCTACAAAGCTCTATTGCAAAATGTTAATTTTATGTATTTTTTTTTTATTTGTTTACATAATCAGTGTATAGAGTACTAATGTCTTGAGTGCAGTTTATTAAATGAAATCTGCTGTGATTTGTTGAAATATAGCATAGAGCTGTCCCTTGGTGTCTGAATTGCCTTCAGGGAAAGCATACCTGTAGAGTTATTTCTTTGAATTACTGGGCTTAAATGTTGTATCAAATTAAAATGGAAAACATTTAGCTAACAATTATACTGCAAGCAAAGCAAGATAAATGTTGATTATAAATATAATTCAATTCAAGGCTGAATAACTTTAAAAAAAAATTCCCTAATATTTATTAATAAATTATTAGGTAAAACATTTATTATATTGAACAATATTTATTTATTTTTATCTATAGTTTTTTTTAACTAATTGGATAGCCAATATGTTATTAATAATTTACCCAATATTTGTTTGCTCTATGCATTTTATGCTTAGTAGAGTACAATGTCGAAAGCTTAAGAACACTGACTTCAAGCAAATATACCGAAATCAAATGAGAGCCACGCCTATTGAGTGCTTTTCATATGATACACAGAGTGGCTGCCTATGAAGAGTTTCAAATCAGTCACTTATGAGGTTCCATTTTATGGAGGATGGCAGCTCACTAGGTTTTGGAACAGAGAGCCAGTCAGTCTCAAGACGTTAAACAAAAGCTGACCTGAAATATCAGACAACTCCAGTATTCAACAATTACATCACTGCATTTAGCAGACACTTGCGACTTACAGTGAATTTGATGTGCGTATTATCAGACATGCATTTCTTGGGAAATGACCTTGCTGTTGTTAGCGCCATGCTCTACCAGCTGAGCTACAGGAACACTACACATCCTGCCAGCACACTTCTGCACGCTTACACTCGCTGCCAGGGGGAATATCAGTGCGCTAGATAAGAAAGACGAGGGAGACACAGACCTCGTTTCTATGGAGGCTGTTCCAGTCCACCCCCCATATACTCACGTATGAGAGGCGGCACTGTGAAGGATTAGCCATATAACGCAGATGGCCTCTCAGATGTATTGGCTTAAAATAAGATGGGGTTTTCTGTATTGGAGCAGAGGAGGGGGTGTGTGTGTTCTCTTGGGGACTAGATCATGAATAGAAAGCAGGTTGGGGGATGGCACACTTTCATTTTTTTGGAAAGTGTGTTAAAAATGTTGAGGGGGTGGGGTGCCTGCCGCCCCGAGAAGGGTATAACTGCAGGCTGGAGATCTCCAAATGGGGGCGGGAACTCCAAAACGGGGTGTGAGCTCCAAAATAGGGCGTGGCATCCTCACATTGACAGACAGGCACATGACACGCATTCGCAGGGTATGAGGGGGTAGTGATGCTGGGTGCAACTAAAAAGGTGCCATTGTCCGGTGAGGTCCGGTTGGGGAGTTACGGAATGATCTCATATCGCATAATCTTATTAACTGTTTATCTCCTGAACTGCAACTTTCTTTATCACAATCCCGCTGTGGTCAGTTTCACTGGTTAAGGTTAGGGTCAGGTGTGGGGTAGGTTTAGGGGCATAGTGTAGGAAATCAACACTTTAATTGACATAACCAATAAAATCTTTAGAATCAGCTGTGGGGTGGAGTTTGTGGTGAAAGTCTTTGCGCGAGGAGACCCCGCCCCATTTTTGAGGTTCTGCCCACTTTTGGAGTTCACGCCCCATTTTGGAGATCTCCGGTCTGCAGTTATACCTACTCGGACGCCCCGCTCCAGAGACGATCACCCACCCCCAACGTTATCAACCCGACTGTCCGCTGAGTGTAAGATAGAGGAAATGAGAGACATGGAGAGAGAAGTAAGAGATGTCTCTCAAAACACAAACTCATTGACGTACAATCAGATGAAAACCCTCCCTCCAAAAACACACTGTCCTGTTTTTCTAGCAGAAAATTTTGATTGTAGCATAAATCGATTTTAAGCAAACTATAGCCTCGTTCAGACTGTCACCCCAAATCTGATTTTTGTGCAAATCCGATTGAAATCAGATCATATTTAGATATTCTGAATGGCAACGAACTACATGGAATATCTGTTTATATCTGTTTCATATGTGGTTTGAAATCCTATTCAAATCGCATTCCTGGAATCCGTTTCAGTCTGTGTCACGAATTCGGTCCATGGACTTCCGTTTATTCACCACCAGAGGTCACCCTTTCCATTACATTGACTCTCACACAACACAAACTGTTGCATAGTACCCCGGACTACATATCCCATCATTCTTTGCACGATTTGCACACTGCACTGATTGCACTCATTGCACACAGCTGTTTCTAATCACCTCACTCACTATATAACACCCACTCTAACCACCTTTCTCTGCTGAGTATTGTTTAGCCCGTACCCCTTTCCGAGTCCCATTCCGAATCTCTGTGTTTTCCTTGTTTTGCCTTGCCTTGCCTGTTTCCGCGGTTTCTGATCTTTGCCTGTATTCCTGGATTTTTCCCTCTCGTCTCGCCCCTGTGATTCTGTCTGCCGATCGGTGACCTACGCTAGCCCTGGGACTATTCTTGTGTTTTGCCCGCCATATACCTGTTTGCCATTGTTTGACCCTGCCTGTTTACCACGTCTCTTTAATAAAGCCTGCAGATGGATCCACACGTCTCACGTCTCGTCAGCTCCGTTACAGTCTGACTGGTCAGATCAGATTTAGCGTAGCTTTTTCACATTCTCATGCCATGTAAAATGTAAACACGTCAGACATTTTTGTAGAAAACATGCTAAACGGCTTTGCAGAAACAAGCTTGAGTTGTTGTGAAGTGCAAGTCAAGCGGAAAAAGACAATATACTGCTAGTATCAGGGCTCGACAGTGCGAGCATTTCACTCGCATTTGCGACTAAAAATAGATGTGTGCGAACTGGAAAATGTATTTAGGAGCATGAGTGCGAATACAATACAAAATACAAAACAGCCTAACTTATACAGTAGCCTATAACAAATGTATTAGTTTCTTCAGTTTATTTATGGAAAAAATAGTGATACAGCCTCATATGATTACTGAACTTCAAAAGGCAACAGTTTAATTTAAATTAGCACAGATGAGAAGAAAGGCAGAGCGAGTGAAGGAGAGCCACTAGAGGCGCTGACGGAGGCAGAAATGCTATAATAGAGAACAGTGGGCCTATCTGTATATTGACTGATTCGTTGTTATTATTGTTCAGTAACACTTAACAGGTTCCATTTGTTAACATGGAAAAACAATGACGTTTTTCACTATAATTCCATTATTATCCTATAACTATTAATTTCTTTTAAAAAAACTTACTGACCACAAACATTTGAACAGTCGTGTAAATAAATAAATACATTATTATTAATGAACATAAATGTATTATTATAATAATTTATAAAATAAATTAAATTATTGTTAATACTTCACTGTGCAAGATTTTAGAAAAGCTATATACTATTATGCAATAGTAGCTATATTCTTACCTATTTGGCTAAGGGCTAAAATTATTTCCAGCCAAGCAAACATCAATCAAAAATCATGTGCAAAAAATCAGGAGTAAAAGTAAAGTATAGAAGGTCCACTCTGATTTCATTATGACTTCAGGTAGGTTGAGAGGCAGAGACCCTGCATGTACTGTGAGCTTTTTGCAGAATCCAGCAGTGAGAGACGCTACAGAGGCCAAAGAGGGACACGTTTTCATGTCCCCCGCTGCAGTGCAAGGCGGATGACAGATGCATGTGCCATATGGTAAACAGGACAATACTGTCCCTCTAGTTTCTGACTGTGTCTGAATGAATCAGATCAGAGGACTGCCCTGTTGCTGAGGTCACCAACACGCAAGGTCATGGGGTTGATATGAAACATGACAAAACCATCAGCATAAAGACGATAAAGAAACTGAGTCATTTCTCAGGGTGAGATGCTCATAAGACAAGCTGACGAAGCATTGCACAACAAAAGTGAGAAGATAAGGATTCCTCACATTACCAGAGAAGAAACGGCAGTTGTG